GCTGGGGCCCGGAGCCATTGGTGCCATTGTCATCGCCTCCCTCCTGGGTACGTCTGTGCTTGTGGCTTTGGTCGTCATCACGCTGAGAAAGTTCTCGGCCTCCTGAACTCAATAAAAGATTTTTCTGTAACACAACCAGCTCGTCTCCTGCCCTCGACTGCTCCTGCTCCCTGTCTGCCTGGGGTGGGCCCTTTGGGGACAAATGCTGTCACGGATGTGGCAAAGGGCACTCCAGCCTCTGCACCGGACAGCACCAAAGATTTTTCTGTAACACAACCAGCTCGTCTCCTGCCCTCGACTGCTCCTGCTCCCTGTCTGCCTGGGGTGGGCCCTTTGGGGACAAATGCTGTCACGGATGTGGCAAAGGGCACTCCAGCCTCTGCACCGGACAGCACCCGAGTGCCCTTTGCTCTTGGCGTGCGGTTCTTCTGGGGGCACAGAGACCACAGCAGCCACTGTCACCCCCATGGGCAGGAGGGACCTGCGGCAGTGGGTGGCTTTGAGCTGGCATCAGCTCTCTTAGTCTAACCTGGGTGGGGGTAATGGTGTTGGGCATCACCTTGCACAGCTGTCCTGAGGAAGGGTTGTTCAGTTAATGTAACCCACCTTGACCCCTCCCTGGTCTTATCCCCCCCATGTTTGTGTTCAGCCCCACTTCCACCCAGTTGCCCCACACCAGTCACAGTGGAAGGGGCTGGGTAAGAGGCGAGCGGTTGGTGTGAGGGGAGGAAGAAGACGCACGTGTGTTGCTTTGGCGCTGGCTCGCTCAGCTATATTTCATCACACAGAAAAACGAGACAACGAGAAGTTCCCCTCAGTTCGCTGAGGCAGCCCGGCAGGGGCTGAGGGGCTCCAGCCCGTGCCTGTGGGCCCCAGGCCTGGCCCTGTACAACACTGGAGACCACAGAAACGGAGGCGTGCAGGGCTGGTTCTGAGGAAATAACACTGGATGCCACTTAGTGCCTGAAAATGGCACAGCCTTTGCCGAGGGACTGGAGTCCTAAAAAGTTGCATCGGAGCAAGAGGGGCTGGTGGTGGGTCATGGGACAGTGCACAGCAGCCCTGAGCCCCTCTCCTCCCAGAAAAACAGTGAGGAACTGGTGTCCTGGCACTGGGGAACCTGGGTCAGCCCCTCCACTCATGAAAGAGCAGTTTCTGATGGATAAGGGAGCGTTTCCATGCTCTGAGAAACATTCCAGGTAGGTGAGTGTGGCTGGGCTGGCTGCTGGGCTGTGAAGCTGGAGGATCCAGGATGTGCCAATTTCTCAGGTAATTTCCAGGACTTCCTAGTGCAGGAGCTCCCCTGGGTTTTGTGTTAGAGAATTTGTGGCTGCTGTGAGTTCTGGGCCCTGAGATGGAGGTGTGGTTGTACTCAGAAAGCTGCCTTTGTGATGCTGTTGGGGGGATCTGACTTGAGGCCTCCCTCAGCTGGGTCTGACCTCGCACCCCACGTGTAACCTGGGACTCGTGTGGCACAGAGCCCCCCTCCAGCAGCTTCCCGGTGTCCTGCTGCCTCCCCGCGCTGCCACGGGCACGGCTGTGCTCCTCTGCTTTGTGCGTGTGGCTGGGGGG